ACAGCGCGAGCTAGTCCATGAGACTCAGAACGAAGGGTGATATGAAGCCTTGAGGAGAAGCTCCATCTGTTTCTAACTTTAGACTGAAAAGGTAGGAGTTCTCAGAGAACAATATTGCCACCTATTATATCATCATAACTTAGAGTGTCGGATCCTCAAATATCCCAAGATTTATAACAGCCTAGTTGTGACAATTCACCTAGTCGAAACGAACGAGCGACTGGACTACTTGCGGATTGCCTACGCACACCGAAAAGTAACGGACAGAATTCGATTTGCACGACCTGTGAGACTTAGTACTTAACTGCTTTTTATACGTGAGCTGAAGTCATCGACTAGAGAGAATGCGGACCTCATACATGTCTATACGACCTCGCGAGAGAGAGAGAGAAGGAAAATATAAAAGTAGGTTGTGCGTGGCAGTCGCTTTTACTGACCCAGTAAAAAGCGAATACGGTTCGGGTCAACAACCCAGGTAGTCACGAGCGAAGACATGGGTACCAACAGCGAAGCCATTGCGACTGGTGACAAGTTGTAGTTTCTATAGGCAGAAATTCATCACATTTAAAAACAGTAAGACATACATCATACGCCCGGAAGAACGCTGTACGGCTGTTTCATTCTTTCGGGATTTGTCAGCAGTACGCATTCCATCTGAACCTTGTGAGGCTCGAACCCGCAACTTAACTGTTGCCAGTTTAACGTTGTTGACCTGATATAGCGTCGCTCAATATTTCCTGGTTTGCACGTTACTACTGCGCAGAGGACAGGGTATGTTCGTCGTTTGATGAGGGGTTACCCTCTCCTCTGAGCTGTAGTAACGTGCAAGCCAGTGAAGTGTGAGGAGCGGTATATCACACCTAGTAACTTAATCTCGATGTGCATTACCGTCCTCCGTAGCTCCTCGGTCCCAACTTTAGACTGGTAACAGTTGAGTTTTGGGTCGGAACCCCACAAGGGTCGGATGGAGCGCGCATAGCTGACGATTTCCGACAGGAGGAAACGACCGCACAGTGCTTTTCTGAGCTTGTGCTGCGGAAGCTAGTCTATCTATCGGCAAATAAGAACAAAGTCTCGCAGTTCTAGTACCGCCTCGGCTACTATCGCTTGACTTTCTGTTTGGGGTCCTGAATAAAATGCGCACGTTGGTTAAATATACTCGTTGACATAGCCTGGAACCGATCTCATAGATGTTTGTGCTGTAAGTTTTTTTTACCCTTTTTACCGCTTAGCACCCACTCAAGCGGTGCGTTATTTGATGCATAATAACTCACGGTATGATGTAGTTGATTCTAGTTGTGTACAGCTATCTGTAAGAGTTTTATTGTTGCACACTAGCCAAATTGGCCCACCTCTTGTTAGTATGGGGAGTAATGATGATGACGATGACGATGGTGGCGGCGGTAGAGTAATAATGATGAAAACCAATGAAACAAGAGCAGCGCACCTTTTACCCTATTCTCTGAGCTAGAGATGCCGACATAACCCAACGCAACCAGCGCACTCCATTTTTTTCGAAAATATAAAGCGTCGCCGTAAAGGAACCTGGCAAGAACCTTCCTTACCAACCAGCAACTATCTAACTAGCACAAATATGATCAGCTAATGGGTATGTATGGGTTTCATCCATGGACTTCTCGCAGTCGACGGGCTGATAAGAATATATAGAGGCAACGAAATCTCTGAAGAGTTAACAAACGATAAACCGTAAGACGAAAGTTGGTGGATGCATGCAATTCATATTGTATCCTCAGTACCCTTAACAAAAAGCGAAAACTATACATATAGCTAACAGTGGACGTGGTCAGATAGGCTTGAGCAGCAGGTTGCATGAGGGAATCGCACCTCTACATTCAGGGCAACCCAAGGCTGACAATTCTTTAGAACCCATGGACTGAATTCATTTGGCTTATTACGACAGCCTCGGCAAACCGAGGGAAGTCGGGATTAGCTTGACCCGACAGTAGGTGTTTTTCCATCGAAGCAGCCGGACGAGTACGCACGCACGGATGTTAAGAAGGGCAGGCGGTCTGGGCAACCTCACGTCCAACCCATCTCGGCACTTGTTACTTTCTTCTGGAAGTCAGAGAGCTCTCGGTTCTGCCTAGGTAATTGGCTCCACGGTCAAACACGAATCCGCATACACAGTGTCAGTTGGTCCAGATAAGCTGAGCTTCCTTTGTTTGAGGTACCGGCGAATTTCTGGTCCATTTGATGACAACAGCTTGTACAGTCTAGTGGCTTCCTTGGATTCAGTGTGAAACGACCAAGTTAGAAATCAAGCAGGACGGACGGTTTGGGTACATCGGAAAGTTACGTTATCATACCATAGTACGGGCTATTCTAAGCTACCGTGAAACGTACCTGGATTGGATAAAGATCCATAGGTGACATTAAGGTACTCTCAAATACCTACGTACCGGGCAACATCAGTTTCTCAGAGTTTTCACCATCTTATCAGCTTTTAGTAAAAAGATGATGGAATACACGGTGCTCCATATGAGCGAAAGATCATCAAAACAATCATGCCAATCACACTTTGTAAAACGCAATTAGATTAGATGCTTGAAAAGAGTCAGGGTGAACCAAAGATACTGCCCAAAGGTATAGTTACTTAAAAGTATCACATAAATGAATAAATAAATGGTGTATTTCTGGAAATTGTGGGTGAATTCTGCATCCTAAGCTATCAATGTAGAGAAACAGGTAATTACATTTGGATCGGTTGTTAACTAGTTACTTAATAAAAGAAAACATCGCACAATGATGGGTGTTTTGAAGTGTTGTATGGCAGGAAAAGGTGTAACCGTTGGTTTGAAATGCCAGCGATTAGCGAAACTAAGTGTTGTGGATACGGGATACGGATGCACGCAGGGATGGTAGCGTTCCATTGTAACGGAGCCTTCTTCTACCCCAGAAACTATGGTATGTGGGCGGCAAATCAAACAACAGCAGGCATTCAAATCTACACTTGTTTTACCACGGATTTTTTACTCAACAGCAAAGGGCATGAACTACTTTACGCCCTAAGTGGCCGCTAAACACTCCATAAGACAATATAAACCCGAAAATGCAGGTCATCAAGCCGTTGCTCCCAGTGAGCCTTCACAGTTAATGAAACCACGTAGGCAATGGGGAAGCTTGCTGATGTCTCGTGGGCGCAAAATTGACGGAAAACTGACATGCAAATAACTCTGGTAAGAAATGTTGCACAAACGTATGCCTTAGCGGCGGATCTTAATCTAGAATAAGTTGCCAGAAGGACGTTGGAATACGGAGAACTCTTCCTAGAGAGATACAAGAGTAGAACAAATTCAGTTTTAGATTTTGTATGTCACCCTTGCGCAGGGGCCATGAAAATTTTCTCTGCATCGCACTAATTTTATTATATGCATGGTCGGCGCGAGTACAAAAGGTCGCGCACTCAAAATACGAACTCGGGCCTCACGGACAACAGACCAGCACGCAGATCACTAGGTCACATTCAGGCTATCCGTGTCAATTGCAAGTTAACTGAGAAATCCTCCGTCAAATCAAAGATTACAAAAGCCTAAAAGTAATTCACATTTTTCCTCGGCAACCAAAACTGCTTAACACCATTTCAACATGTAGTTCCCCATTTCCTGCTTAATTTGCTCGCTACAGGTGGTAGAAGAATTGTCCACTACCAGCGTTCCACCAGCCTGTAGCTCGAAAATACGAATGCAAATAATAGATGAGAAAAGAATATTTCCCTTTAAGTCCCCCACGGCTCAGTGGCTTAAGATGCTGGCTATTTGCCATCTGCTTCTCATGGTCATGGGTTCTACCCACAGTAGGGTACCGGGAGAATGCGCACCAATGACGAGTCCCAATAGGGCCAAAAGCGTCTGCTGGCTTTCCGGACTAGGCTGTGCTATATAGCTTGTGAAGGGTTGCGATGAATGCCTTAACGAACTTACAACTAAAATCCTGCTACTTGACAGTAATAGAAAATAAATAGCCTCTCCTAGTTTCAAATAATATGGAGATAAGGTCGAGCGATAGGACGTCATAATCTCGCAGGCTAGCTACTGTCAGTGACAGTGGAAGATAGGTGCTGCTATATCCCAGTTAGCTTGCAAATTATGTAGCCCAACCAACGTCCCCATGGTTTAGTTAGTGGCTTAAGCTGCTGGCTAATTGTCATCTGCTTCTAGCGGTCATAGGTTGGATCCCAAGTAGGGGACCAAGAGAATGCCCACCAACGACGAGCCCCAATAGGGCGAAACGCGTCCGGTGCTTTTCCAGACTAGCTGTGCTATGTAGCTTGTGAACTACTGGGAAGAATGCGTTAACAAAATAATGTTCAATTCTTTTATGGAATTTCAAACCTTAAAAACAGTTCAACATGCATTTAAATAAGTGAACCTATTTTGGTGTGTGAACCTAAATAAGTGGCACGTGGCGATGGATGAATAAAAGTAAAAGCGGACGTTTATATGAGTGAACGGCCCCCAACGTGAAGGATTTGGGTGCAACTAGCTGCAAACCACGTACTAAGCATTTATGCTGCGTTCTTAAAGCTAACAGTCAGGAATTACGTTAGAAAACTGAAATTTATCCCTTAATACAAAATTTCAAAACTCGTTCATTGTAACAAAAATAAAATTATTTCGGTATGTCAAAGTAAAGTTGGTGCATCAAGCCATTGCTCACATACGAAATGTCAGTTAAATATGTCGTCATACTAATAATTTTCTATAAAGCCCTTTCTTATGTGCCATTGAAATACAGACTGTGGAACATTGCCGCAGGGAATGGTGAAACAGAAGCAAAATTTCTTCATTTGAATGTAGAATACTTTTTCGCATGAGACTAGTTGGTGTATGAGTTGTATAGTTTGTCCACATAAGAGAAGAACATCGATGTAGGGTTATGTTGGACTAGTCACATGGAATGCGACCTTTGTCAATAGGATTTTGAACGCTACACATATGCATGGCTGATTATAATGATGTCGACTGTTTTTTTTTGAACAGGTGTACAAACAATTCCTTTCTCTTCGGTCAGTCATACGGCAAAGAGTTCTCAATGCCACTTTGGACAAATATTATGCTAAAATGCGAAATTTATGATGGAGGTTTACAATCAGTCGTACACATTCTGTATGGGTTATGCAGGAAGCTTGAACAGAGAGACTGAAGAGTGTGGTAAGCTGTGTATACATTATTTTTCATACTGTTGCTTTATCTTTCGCTGGATTATGATCAAATAGTACCCTGAGCCACAAAACACTAACGTGGTACCAGGGAAACATGGAGACATGAAATATGCATATTTCCATAAACGGTTAGCAGCCACTACGATCGCCTCACATCAACTCATTTGCCTTCACGGAAGAAAGTGAGCCTGTTTGCCTACAAAAGGGTAATGTACTGTTTTGAAAACACAACGCACGCAAGTTGTTTTCAATGATTTAGCTTCAGACCACTCCATGAGTGTAATGGTCTGAAGAACAATCAAATTGTCTCGTGTTCTCGAAACTTAAATGCGAATTGTTATGCTATCTTGTAATGGCACAAATTATTTGGAGGGTAAGGTTAAGTGCATCAAACTGCAAGTAGCATTGCTTCTTCAGTAGAATACGGCTGTACTTCAAGATTAAACACTACTATATCGCTTCCAATCATTTGTCTACACCAACTAATGAGCGATGTGGCAAAAAGATGTAACCTTTTTACCGTAACAATAGGGTCGTATCGTCAACAAATCATTGAGTTTGTTTAGAAACTGGAACTGCTGGAATTACATCAAAGAATGTTGTGCGTTTATAACTTTTCCCGGAAAGTTTAGCTTACTATCAATAAGCTCCGCTTATCTGTACTTTGCCAAGCACGAATCCGTTCATGCCAACATTGTAGGACGTTGGCAATGCATGCACTGAAGAACTAGAGAATGACTTCAGTACGCCTGTAGCTGCCGGAGCTATCCTAGTATTCCTTTGATCCCTCTATTCTTGTAATGAATACTTCCGGAGGCCAC